TTTGAATACACAGATACAAAATGGACATTCATCTGTATCCCCTTTTTTTTTTGCTAAGTTCCGTTATTGAATATTATAGGTGTGTTAACTCAGCAAAATATTCTAAAAGAGCGCAGTAGTCCATAATAGTATTGGATCTTCCACTTCACTGGCAATGTCAGAAATTGTTGACCTGTCCCCTCAAATGGTTGATTTTAATAGACAGAATAGTTAAGGCTGGAATCTAACTTTACGTGTGAGAGGTAAAAGCTTTAACCCCATACAAGCTGCAAAGTACTGGGACTCAGCATTAGTATTTTTCTTGCTTGGTTTTGCTATAACATCATGATTAGGCATACAGATTCTGGAGTTCCTCACACTTAAACTAGCTCCATCACGTACTAGATGCACAGCATTAAACAAAGTACCTGGTCAACCTGTGCTTCAGTCTCTTGTTCTGTAAAATGGAGCAATGATTACACTAATGGTCTGCAATTTAGACTGGAGTTCTAAATTCTAGTACATTCTTCATTAGTTGAGAATATTGTAAACTGAAAGTACAGCTGACATACTTAATCTACTGAACATCCTAACTTAGCAATGAAGTATACTATAGAGTGCTGGTTGTTTATTCTCATGACTGTGGCTGACTGGGAAGGGGGAGGGCACTCCCAGCTACTGTTGCTGCACATCTTAAGAGAGCACCTTGCCAGCAGGGAAAGATGAAAATTCAAAGTATTGTCTTTGCTGAATATTTATCACTTCTGAACTATCATAAAGTGAAAAAAAAAAGCCATAAATCAAACAACCACTGAGATGGGGATTATCTGTATTCACCTTACAGGGTTGCTTGATACCTAAAGGAGGTCACTTAGTGCATTTTGAATAGCCCAGATATACAGTGAATATCAGTGAATATTTAGTAGTATCAGGATAAAGACTCTTGAGTTTGTTCATTCAGGTGCTCGCTCAGAATCTTTGTTAGTACATTATCTTTCTCCTTCAGTTCTCCATTTTGTTTCTGCAACTATTCTCTAGGACCAGAAACATCTGAAGACTTATTTTCCTCCTGGTGCCAGGTAGTTTGCAAAAGTAAAGGTAAAGAAAGAGATGGTGCGGAGATAGGTTTTACCTAATTGTGTTTAAATTTCATATTGGTTTATGCCAAGTTGTTCCTCCAAAGTCAAATGCTTTTTGAACATTCCACAAAGTCCTAAAACAACCTAAACCTAAAAAGAAGAAAAACCAGACTCAATCTGGCAAGAGGCTGGGAAGAATAGTGGACAGCCAGATTATTTTATTTCAGAACAGAAAATTAGTTTCCTCCAGGACAAAGAGGGGAAGTGATACTTGAACTAATCTTGGCTTTGAAATTAGGGAAACCCTAAAAATTCCTCAAAGCCTATATTCAAAAAAACAAAACAAAAAAAGAATTGGATTACTAAAATAAAAGATAAAACCCATCAATATTTCAGTAGATAAATGAAATGTATTTGGAAAAAATCCAGCATCCATCCCTGATAAAAGCTCTAAAACTAAGAATAGAATATCCCCAACCTGATGAAGCATATAACACACATATACATGGAGACACAAGGCTTAATGCTGAAAGACTAAATACTTTCATTTCAAGGTGAGGAACAAAGTACAGGTTGTGCTTTCACCACTTGTATGCAACATTGTACTGGACTTTCTATAACCAGTAGAATGAAAATTTTTTAAATTAAGGGCACCACGTTGGAAAGAAAGAAGTAAAATTGTCTTTGTTTTCAGATGACATAGTACTACATAAAACTCAGAAGGAGTTTTACTAAAACTAATGACAGACTTTGGTAAGGGTACAAGATCAACACAAAATTTAATTGCATTTTTATAGTAACAATGAACAATCACGAAATCATAATTTCATAAATTATGAAAATAATCTCTTCATAACGATGAAGAGAATAAAAGTTGGAAACAAATTTAACATAAAAATTCAAGACCTACACCAAAAAGTATAAAATGCCATTTAAAGAAATTAAGGAATACCAAAATAAATGGGAAGATGTTTCATTTTCATGGATTGGAACACTCAATATTGCCAAGATGGCTGGTCTCATAATGATCTATAAATTCAATGCCATCTATATCAAAAAGCATGTTAAAGAGGCTGGAAAAGTATGTGCTTATTTGACCCCTACTTGGGAGCATAAAAGAAAGAGCTCCAGCCTCCTCTAACCCCCAGCTGGCCCTTATTCTTATATCCAGTTTTGTGTATGCGTGTGTTTGTGAGTGATGTTGTCATCTGTGCACATGCCATGAGTGTGTGCCTGTGTGTGTTCGTCCCATAGATACGTGTTCCAACCCTTCCTCCCCTGGTTCCCTCACAAACAGCTCCTCCTGGCCACCCTCTAACCTAGGGTTGTACACAAGCCAGACATGGAGGCAGGCACTCGCCTGCAGTCCCAGCAGTCTGAGAGCTGAGGCAAGCTTGGGTGAATTAGCAAGTGAGTGAAAGCCTGTCTCAATAAGAAAGTATAAAAAGGGGCTTGGGAGGTAACTCATTGGAAGTGTGGGCCCACAAACTAATTGCCAGTTATCTTCAACACTGAAAACAAGTCTCCTTTAGGGGGACAGACTAAGGGGAAGAAATCCAATAAGTTTCTAGGGGAAAAAAAAATACTGTCATGGAAGCATTTAGGGAAGAGGATTCCATGGTCCTGATTACTTGGAGCATGGTCCAGAAGCAGAGACCTGGACATCAGATGGGGACAACCACTTTGTCCTACTGACTCCTGAAAGGACAGCCATAGAAATGTCCTTGAAAGCAACGTTTCTCAAACTCTATTCTGCAAACAAATTCCTGGAGATCTTGTTCAAGTGTAAGTATAGTGGGTCTGGAGCAAAACCTGGTGACGTGAATGTGTAACAAGCATTCTGGTGATAACTGGAAACTGGTGTGGGACTGGACGGCTGCAGAGTGGTGCAGTTTGAAAGTGGGAGGCCCCCTTAGGGGCTCTGGTAAGCTGGCTCTCAGGGCAGAGCTCCACTGTGAAATACAACTCAGCTGTGATAGCAGCAGGAGTGGACAATTGTTTAATGCTTCCAGGACTTTATGAGCCACAACTGAGCATGCCAGGGATGGCTGATGAAGAATTCACAAACAGCTGGATGTGGTGCCGCTCACCTGTAATCCGAGTACTCAGCGAGACTGAGGCGGGAGAAATGTAAGCTCAGGTCCAGAGCAGGTAACAACTTAGTGAGACTCTGTTGCAAAATATTAATTAATTAATTAGCTAGATTTTTCAACAGCCAGATCTTTTGCAGAAGGAGACTAAAAGAGGGAGGGAGGGAGGAAGCGGGGGAAGCACTGGGGAATGACAAGAGAATGAAGATGTGTTATGTCCATGTACCAACTGCCCTTGAGGAACGCAATCATTACATAGTGCAAACATGTACTAATAAAATATAAACCCTGGGAGAAGAAAGAGCCAATGCTGCGAACACTGTTCATTATCATCTCCCCCCCCCCCAATTTTTGGTGCTTAGTATTGAACATAGGACCTTCACACTGAGCTACATTCCTGGCCCTTTTTATATTTTAAGACAGAACCTAAGTCACTACATTGCTCAGGTGGCATTTGAATTTGCTATTCTCATACCTCAGCTAGACACTGAAAAATGGGGAATAACAGAAGTATTTTTTTTTGAGTTTTCTTTTCTTTTATTTTATTTTATTTTATTTTTTTCTACAGTTTTATTGATAAACAGATAGCAATGAGACAATTTCAAATCAAATCGGAAGTACAGTTTCAACAAATAATACACTGCATATATTCTTCTTAGTGGTTAATTGCTGTACAAGATGCGGACTTGTGATCCTATTTACAAACACCATTAGAACAAATCATTCCAGTCATTAAGACAATGCAACTATATATCTACCCCAACCACTTTGAATACACAGATACAGAATGGACATTCATCGGTGTACCCCATTTTTCCTAAGTTCCGTTACTGAATATTATAGCTGTGTAAACTCAGCAAAATATTCTAAAAGAGTCCAGTAGCCCATAATAGCATTGGGTCTTCTGTTTAACTGGCAATGTCAGAAATTATTGACCTGAATCCCCCACAGCTTAAATTAACAGCATAGCTTTATTTCTTATATTTCGTCTTCATACTTTTCTACTGGATGGTTAAGACCAAGGTAAAGCAGGACCTGTGCAACAAGAGTTGTAGCTTTTTGGTCTGAGAAGGTCAATGAAATGCCCTCAGGATTTGTCCTGAGATCCTGTACCTCAGATTGTAGAACCTTTATCAGTGCAGCCATGTGGATGAGTCACGACCATTGCTTGGCCAATGTGCTCTCTGTGAAAGCCTGAGAGAGTGTCTTCTCCCCATGTGACTCTCCTTAGGCCCACTCTATGTCATCGATCACTTTCCTCTTTGGCCCCATAATCTTCTTGATCAGAAAATTTGGGACACTACCGAGGTACATGACTAACAGAAGTATTTGTAACACACTTAGTTGACACAGAAGAGCAGTGATTAATACTTTTCTAGGAAAATGTTTCATAATGAAAGTAATATCTGAACAGATCATTGAGGAATGAACTGGGTTTTTCAGACAACAAAGAGGAAAGACAATTCAAGGCGAAGAGAATAATATACCTGTCACAGATTTTATTTTCCGAAGACGGCTGCAATGTTATCTCTCATTGCATAACACCTTCTAAAAATTTTCCACTCCTCTACCAAGAGGTGAAGTCTAGTTCCTTCCCTTCTCTTTGAATCTGAGTGAAGTTGTAGGATTGCTTTCATGAATACAGTGTGCAAGGACACTATGTGATTTAGGAGGCTAAGTTGGAAAACACCGTCTATCCTTCATCTAGTCTTTTTTGGATACTTGCCTTTGGAAACCAATCGCCATGCTGTGAGGAAGCCAAGAAGCCCACAAGAAGCTCTGATGGGGAGGCACTGAGGTCCCCATGTAGGACTTATGTTGAAATCCAGCTGACAGCCAGCACCAACTTGCCAGCCACCTCATCAGCAGATCTTTCAGCCTTGGGTCCAACTGCATCAGGTGACACTGTGTACAGCAGAGATAAGCTTTTTTCCACCAAACCCTGACCAAATTTCAAATTCATGAGAAAAATAAGTGATTGCTGTTATTTAATCCATCACATAGTAGCATGGTTTGTTATGCAGCAGTACCCCTAGATCTGCATCTAAAGGCAAAAAAGTGTGAAATGATCTGGTATTTAAAAAGATGACACAAACAAGGGCTTTTGTGTGTGTGTGTGTGTGTGTGTGTGTGTGTGTGTGTGTATGTGGAACCAGGGATTGAACTCAGGTACTTGTGCTTGCCAGGCAAGTGCTTATTCCACTGAGGCATCTCCCTGGTTATATTTTTGTATATCTCAGCTATTAGAAATAAAAATATCAAAATCCAGGACATGTAAAGAATGTTGAATTTGTGATAGGTAACGTTCAGTAAACAAATTCTTAGTCATGTCAATGTAATGAAGTTGTACTGTGGAGTCAACCATGCTTGGATTCATTATTATTCATGTCTATGCCAACAAATGTTCTAGATATAAATGTAAACATATTTATACAACAATGTTTTCTTGCTGTAATAAATTCCTTTTTTAGTAATAAATTTTTATTGAAAGGAAAACTAGGCCAGGGGTTATAGCACAGCAGTTGAGCACTTGCCTAACATGTACAAGGGCCTAGGTTCAATTCCCAGTATAGCAAAAGAAAGAATATATTAATAATCTGCTCCTATGTATATTCTGTAGATGAAACCCAGGTAGGCAGTTTCAATAAATCATTTATTGTTTTTATTACCAAAGAGTAAATGTAATTTCAGAAATAATAACAACAAAACAACTAAATTCTTCAGTGGGAGAAAAGTCTCAACATTCTTGGGATAAAAGTACATAATTCTAACTTGTCATCAATACCTTTGTTTTCCCCATAAACATTTCTAGAAAAACCAACCAGGAGTTTCTGAAAGGGGTAAAATTTATGACTATTCTTTAAAGCTGACAGCCTTATTTTCTACAGGCCTTAGGAGAGAAGGGTGCATGCTAATTTGAGAGGTAAAGACTCAGAATGCAATGAATTGATATGCCAAGACTATTTCCTGTCCTGTGGGCCTCCTGAATTTAAATTTTTTAAAAAAATTTCCTTTGGCTCTAATGTAACATGTGGTTGAAAAGTGATATCCCCACACAGAATGGGAATTTATATTACCTGGAGCAGTTGGGAATGGGAAATTCTTGGAATAGGGAGTGCAGATAACAAATAGCTTCCTTCATTCTGATCTTAGCTGAACCAACTCCTCTTGGAATACCGTGTTCACTTCTAGACACCATATTTCCAGAGAAGTTAGAGGGTGTTTGGAAGAGAGTGTTGAGTGAATACAAACTTCTGCCACCTGAGGAACAAATGAAATAAAGGAAGGTGTTCACTGTAAGGGGAACCAATTCTTCAGGTGTGTTAACCATTTCTAAATCATCGAAGAGCTTCTCTACAGAAAGACAGGTATCATTCTGTAGCCCTAAAAGTAGAGTGTGAAAAAGTCTGTGAAACAATTTAGTAGTAGAGAAAGGCATAGTTGTCCAGAGATACCATCAGGGATTAGGGGAGATCAGTAACTCAGTCACTGGAGAGCTTCATGCAAATTTTCTGGAAAGAATTCTAAAGCAGTTGGAGGTTGGATCAGACATCCTTAAAGGTCATTTCCATATGCCCTTTGCATCTTCCCTGGGAGTCACCAGTGAACTTCCATATGTACTCACAACAGCCCATTTCCTTCTTTCCAGCTCTAGCTCCCGGAAGTGTGACAATTTCTAAAAGTAACATGCTCTCTCTTACCAGCTAATGGCCTGCATCACTCTCCACTGATAAGCCCAAATTGCTCTGTGCCTTTGTGCCAAATCCAAAAGCTGCCCCTCTGATAGGAAGAACCAACTTTGTGAAAATGGCCATACGCCCAATATTGCTACACAATTCTATTACTCAGTCAATGCTAATTATAAATTGTGAAAGTCAAACTAAGAGTGAATTATATGTACACTGTATGAAGATATTTACACAAATACCATGTGGGTCAACTCATATTCCTTTGTCAGTTAAAAACAGCTTATAGCTAATTTTCTTGGCAAAGTTATGCTGAAGATGGGTGAGAGAAAGCATCAGCCTTGGCTTTCAAAAACAAAAAGTTGATAGGGAGATGGCTCAGTGGAATAAGCGCTTCCCTGGCAAGCGCAAGGGCCTGAGTTCAATCCCCGGTTCCACAAAAAACAACAAAAAAAGTTGGGCAAGAAAGCTCTTCCACTTGAACCTTCCTTGGCAGTGTGCAACTCTTTAGAGAGGTGGTTTTGGAACAGAGCTAGGGAGAGGCAAAGGAACTAACTACTGGTTTTTTTTTTTCTAGTACAAAGGATTAATTCCCAGAACACCCTATCACTGAGCTATATCCTCAGCCCCATTTTATCATTTTATTTCACCTCATTTCATTTTGAGAGAGGGTCTCACAAAATTGCCCAAGGGGACTTGAACTTGGTATCCTTCTGCCTCAGCCTCCTCAGTGCTGCAATTACAGAAGCATGTGCCACCCTGCCTAATTATGTGAATTCTTTTTTTTTTTTGGTGGAACCGGGGACTGAACTCAGGCCCTTGCGCTTGCCAGGCAAGCGCTTATTCTACTGAGTGATCTCTCCAGCACCCAAATTATTTGAATTCTTATGTATTCTTCTGTATACCTCTATTTAGTACTTTTTGAAAATGAGAAAAGATCAACCTAATAAAGGATATAAAAGATTTCTACTCTGAAAACTTCAGTACTCTTATCAAGGAGATTGATGAGGATATCAGAAAATGCAAAGATATCCCTTCCTCTTGGGCAGGAAGAACCAATACAGAGAAAATGGCCATATATCCAAAACTGTTATAAAGATTTAATGCAATTCCAATCAAAACTGCATAGTGTATCTCACAGAATCCGAGAAAACAATCTCAAAATTCATTTGGAATCAGAAAAGACCTAGAATAGCAAAAGCAATTCTGATCAATAAAGGTAAGGCAGGAAGGATCCCAACCCCTGACACTGACAGGCAGGGGGAAAGACCAGAAAATCAGTGGAACTAATTAGAAGATGCAGAAACACCTCTAGATATACTCAGCCACCTAGTCTTGATAAAGATGCTAAACATTTTTGCTGGAAGTCAGATAGCCTCTTTAATAAATGGTACTGAAAAATTTGGCTCTGTGCATGTTGAAGAATTAAAATTGGACCCATGTCTTTCACTATGCACTAAGATATTTTTTTTATGTATTTGGTACAGGGTCTCACTATGTATCTTGAACTTGTAGTGATCCTCCTGTTTTCAGCCTCCCCAGTGCTGGGATTCCAGGCGTGCACCACCATGCCTAGTGTCCGTGGCCAGTTCAGCATGCCTAGAGGCAGGGTTAGCATGGCATGTGGTGCTGGGGATCAAACTTCGGTCTCTGCACTTGCCTAAGCAGGTGCTTAGTCCGCTAACCTATCTCACCAGCCTGCACTAAACTAAATTTGAAATGGATCAAAGATCTAAATAGTAAAACAGAAACACTAACTCTGCAGGAAGAGAGAATAGGCAGAACTCTTTAAGACATAGATGTAGGCAAAAATTTCTTGAGAAAATCCCAGATTGCATAGGACTAATACAAAGAATCAACAACTAGGATCTCATCATATTAAAAAGCTTTTGCACAGCAAGCAAAAACACCAACAGAGTGAAGAGACAACCTACAATTTGGGAAAAAATATTGGCCAGCTGTTTCTCAGACAAAGGGTTACTATGAAGAACATATAAAGAACTAAAAAATAACAGACCTCCCAAATTTAGAGACTCAATCCAAAAATGGGCATCTAGTATAAATACACACTTCTCAGACAAAGAAACACAAACAGAAAATAAATATATGAAAAAATGCTCAACATCACTGGTCATTAGAGAGATGTAAATTAAAACAACATTGATATTCCATCTCACCACATAAAGAATGGCTACTATCAAGAAATCAACTAGTAACAAAGCTGGAGGGCATATGGTGATAAAGAAATCCTTCTCCACTATTGGTAGGAGTGTAGACTGCTGTAACCACTGTAGAAATCAGTGTGAATATTCTTCAAAAACCTAGGATCGGTGGTCCCATTTGACCCAACTATTCCCCTTCTGGGTATCTTCTAGAAGAATTAAAAACATCATATTACAGCAATATATGTGTACCCATGTTTATAGCAGCACACTTTGTAATAGATAGAACTTGAAAACAACCCAAATTCCCATCAACTGAGGGATTAAAAAAAATGTGGTGTTTTTATACAGCGAAGGACTACTCAGTCATAAAGAATAAACTGAAGACTTTTATAGGTAAATGTAGACAATACTTATAAGTGAAATAAACTAGACATACATGTGCAAACATCATATTTTGTCTACAGTGTGAGCAGCTGAAAGAGTAAATAGGATCCAAAATGTAGAATAGATGCTGCAAAATGGGAAGAAACCATTCAAAAGAAAGGAGAAACTGGGGTGGAGAAAAGAGGGGCCAGGGAGATGGCTCAGCAGAATAAGTGCTTTCCTGACAAGGGCAAGGGCCTGAGTTCAATCCCTGGTTCCGCCAAAAAAAAAAAGAAGAAGAAGGAAGGAAAAACAAAAGAACTACACACACACACACACACACACACACACACACACACACACAATAGTTAAGTCAGTCATACTAAAAGAAAGTTTTGTATTAATATGATTTGGCCAATTAAATGACTGTATCTAGTACTCTGAGTAACTAACTTAAAGATAACAATACAGTTTGTATTAACCATTACTATCCTATTATCTTATTTCTAATTTTTTCTCCTTAAAATAGAGAGGGGCTGGGAAGATAGCTCAGTAGAATAAGCATTTGCCTGGCAGGTGCAGGGTCCTGAGTTCAATCCCAGTAACACAACAAAATAAAAATAAAAATAAATATAAAATAAAGAGAAAAGTTATAGAAACTAGTAAGAAAACTAACATTGTAGTCACTCTAACTTTGAGCCCTTGAAGAAGATCCGAGGCATTTGTCTCAACATTCTGGGGCCAGTCAAATACCACTTCAACTATTACACAAATAAAAGAAGTAGGAGAAGCACATCTGGTATGATCAAAAGCTCAAAGCTCATAAGCTAGGCATGGCTGGGATCCCTCTTTAAAGACTCTCCTACATACTGTAAGGCATGCAGTAAGCTGCCAGCTGCCAGCCCCTGTCTTTGAGACCTATATTACCGTTTGAGCCAATGATACATTCTTTCCAGGTAGATCCAAAAAATAACCAAGCAAAACAGGAGGATTAGGATCCAGCAACTGCTGCCAGGTGTGGCAATCTTTCTGTTAGGCTGAAGGAGATTTCCTCAGAATTGCTCCTCAGTGTGAGGCTCTTCTTAACCATTCCTTTCCTATTACAGCTGTCCACCTAGCATTACAGCCTGAAGGATTTCCTGCCTATTCTTGTTTCCTTTCCTGTTTATCTTCCAAACATATATGTAGATAAATCTCTTGCATTTATTTTGTCTTGGTGCTTGCTGCCCTGTGCAACCAACCAATATAAGGCTGGGGGTGCTGGCTACTAGAAGACACACAGCCCAAACAGGCAAGGTTATTAAGATGAACTATTGGAGCTGGGGAGATAGCTCAGTAGAATAAGTGCTTGCCTGGCAAGTGCAAGGGCCTGAGTTCAATCCCCAGTTCTGCCAAAAAAAAAAAAGTTAATTTCTTCTACTAGGAAGACAATATTTATACATGTGGGTCTGGTTTATTTCACTTATGAGTATATCTTCAAGTGGCATCCACTTAAATATAAATGCTTCAAGTTTATCATTCTTTATAGCTGAGTAGTACTCCATTGTATAAAAAAACTACATCTTTTTCAACCATTCCTCATGTGACGGATATCTTGGTTGTTTCCAATATTTGGCTATCACAAATTATGCTGCTATAAACATAGGTACACATATATCACTATGATATGAAGTTTTCAGTTTTATCTGGGAAAATTTCCAGAAAGCAAATTGGTCAAGCATTGGCCATGACTCATCCACATGGCTGACACTGACAAAGGATCTACAAAATGCAGTACAGGGTTACAGGATAAATACTGAGGGGACTTGACTGACTTTATCAGATACAAAAGTTACATTTCTTGTTATATAGGTCTTGCTTTATCTTGGTCTTAACCATCCAGCAGAAAAGTATAAAAACGAGGTATATAAAGTAAAGCCATATTAATATGCTGAGCTGTAATAGGTTCTAGTCAACAACTTCTGCAGACAACCCCCTACTGTTGTGAACTAATGGACTGTGTTGGATTGTTTTGCTGAATTCAAGCACCTATAATATTTAGATGCCAATAGAATACCCATCTCTGACAGGACTGAACTGGATAGGGGGGATACAGAGGAAGGACCGTTTTGTATCTGTATATACAGAATAGTTAGGAGAGATGTACAGCTGCTTTCACTTGGTCCAGTGAGAGGAAGGATTTGTAGTAGTAGTGTTTGGAAGGGATGTCCTGGATGTTTCTTGTGCTATGGATGGCTGCTGAGGAGATAACAATGTGCAATGTATTAATTATTGAAAATGTCCTATTAATCAGCTTGGAAAGTGTCTCATTGATATTTGTTTCTCAATAAAAGAAAAGAAAAGAAAAGAAAAAAGAACTACCACCTAGGAGTCTTGATGCTTGATCTCTTTTTCATGGTGCTACTTCTTCAAATGATCATGATTTGCATATGAATTCCAGACAGCACCAACAAATAGCTTATCTACAGCATCCTCCTGGTAAGTTCTGGTCAACAGAAAAATATAGCAATACAGACAGAAAGTAAAAGCAAGCAGAAGAAACTTCACTCTTCTATTCACAGAAGTCATTGACTATATAAATATACTAAAAATTGCCAAATTTTATACTTCAAGTGAGTGAAGTGTATGGTCTGTGAATTATATGGTTTCAGTAAAACTTATCAAAAAATTTTGGACTCAAGTATAGAAAATATTACTAAGGTAAATATAGAGGGAAATAAAAAAGTGAGGTTCACCTCTTTTCATTTGGCCACATATAAAGGGATTCCGCAATTTTCCCTCAGGGAACCTGCAGAAAGGGCCGACACACTTGCAAATGCGCTAATTACATCCCAACCTGAGGGTTAAATTATCTCTTACTTAGGAGGGAAGGGCCAGGGAGATAGCTCAGTGGAATAAGCGCTTCCCCGTCAAGTGTAAGGGCCTGAGTTCAATCCCTGGTTCTGCAAAAAAAAAAAAAAAAAAAAGGGTTGCTTAGGAGGGAAGACCAGTAGCTCACACTTCTACAGTACTCATTTTGCATCAAGTTCTATCTAAGTTGCTTACATAGGTCAACTCATTTCCTCTTCCTTTTTTTAAAATTTTATGTTGTTGGTACAGGGTTTCACAATGCAGCTCGGACTTACAATCATCCTTCTGTTTTCAGCCTCCCCAGTACTGGGATTACAAGCGTGCAACAGCACACCAAGTTTAGGGGCAGGCACGGCACATGGTACCAGGGATCGAACCCTAGTCCTTGCACTTGCCTAGGCAGATGCTGAGACTGCTGAGTGATCTCTGCAGCCCTCATCTTCCTCTTATGATATAAAAAATTAGTTATTGAAATAAGTCCCATTTGTAGGGGAGGGATCTGTGATAGTAACAAGTTATGCGACCAACTCAGGATCACAGAGCCAGGCAGGATCGGAGTAGGCCAGGACCATGGATCCAGAGACCCTGTCCCAAAGCACCACCGCAATGCTCATAGAAAGGTTCAAACCAGCACAGGCTTTTCCATTTCTTGGTTTCCTTACCACAACCTTCTAAAAAGTAATTTTTATGCATCATACTAATAACATTACATTAAATACAACAAAGAAAACCTCATCCATAACCAATTACTCAACAAATTGCTGACTCACTTGTGTCCTTATTATTTGTTTTTTGTTCTGGTAGTGCTTTTCAGAGCAGATGTTTCCTCTCTTACTCTCATGGGCCCTCCAAAATATTTTTTTGTTGTTTGTTTCTGATTGATGCTCTCTTGAGAACCTTTAACCTATATCTTATCCCGTGGATGTGTTTCGGGAAGTTAGAGGGAGTATCTCATTTCCAGAGCAAGTGGGCCTACCTGCTCTACAGGAGCTTCCCCAGTTGTAGCACCCTTGATAAGGAGAGGCCTGCAGGGAGAGGAGATGGCATCTTCAGAGAAAGCAGAACTGCTACATGACAATTATTCTCAATCCTTAGCAGTTGAAAATAACAAACCTTTGTTATCTCAAGTTTCAAGAGTGGTTTAGCTGGGTGTTCCCAGCTTTAGAGTTTTCATGAAGTGGTAGGCAAGATGTTGACTGGAGATTCATCCCCTGAAGGTTTGACTAAGACTGAAAGATCTGCTTCCAAGCTTGTTAATGTGGACATTAGCAGGAGCCTTCTGATTCTAGCTGCATGTTCCTCTTCATCAAGCTGCTCACAATACAGCAGTTAGCTTTTGTCACCAGAGTGATGAGAGAACATGCAGGTAACCAAGGTGGAAGCCTGAGTATCTTTTGACCTACCCTCTCTCTCTCCCTCCCTCCCTCCCTCTCACTTTTTTTCTTTCCTTTCTTCTCCTTATCCCTTTCCCTCTCTGTCTCTCCTTCTCTCTCTCTTTTTTTTGTGATGGAATCTTGCAGTATTGCCCAGGCTAGCCTAGAACTCCTGGGTTCAAGTGATCTTTCCTACCTCTACTTTCTCAGTAGCTGGAACTGCAAATGCCCATCATGGATACCTTTTAATAGCTAATGCTGAAAGTGACATGCTATGACTACTCAGCATTATACCCACCTTTACATAATATGGTAGGGAAATCTACAAGCGTATGACTACCAAAAGGTAGCAATCACTGAGACAGACTGATGAACATATTTGGCAGGGGCTAGGACTCAGAGAAGCAGCCACATTTATATGTTTGCATCTTAATTTATATGTGTAACATCCCCTGATATTTTGCAGTTCACAACATATATGATCATACATAGTGGCCCAAGCGGCAGTGCTAGGCGAAATAGGGAAGTCAAGAGAATTATTCTTTGATACTTTCCCATTCCCTGTTAGAAATTCATTCATTTATGCAACATTTTTAGGCAACACCTTTGTGTGGGTACTTTTATGACAATATAGTACTAAGTAATGGGGTCCTCAGGGTCTTAGCACTAACGGAGCTTCAATTTTCACTTATTAGCATTGGCTTTCTTTCATATCCAAAACATTCTTGGTACCACAGGGTGATCATCACTTCCCTCAAGTCAGGCATTAAGTAAAAGTCATTTTCTTTGCTTCTATTTTCTTATCTGAGCTAAAATGATATTTCTGGTAGAGTATAACCTACATGTTTGATAGGCCCCGATCACTGGTACCTATCAGGATGGGAGCTGCTTTCTGCTGGAACCTAGTCCATTCCCCCTTAGAGAGATCTTTTCTTTCACCCATCCGGTCAAGCTGGAAAACTAATTGTGACTGTCTTCTCATGAAGTTGGCAATAACAAAGTTATAAGAAGAGCTCTACAGCAAACACTGCCATTTGCCAATTCTAAGGGGGGAAATGCAGCTTCCATTAAAGCCCAGGAATAAATGTAGCAAAGGTGAGAGTGAGCTCACGATGACACATTGTTGGGTCCGAGCAGGAAATACGAAGAAGGCGAGCTGTTTGTCTTAGAGACCAAATTTGAGTCTTAGGGGACAGAAATGAGAAAATCAAATAAAAATCTATGTTTGTAGACTGGCATCATGGCAGTGTCCCGAGGTGCAGAGCCTACAGCCACACTCTGCTGATTCCAAATCTCAGCTTTGCTGCTAACTGGCTGTGTCAGTGTGGAGAGATAACACTCCCTCCGCACCTCAGTGTTCTGATTTGTTCTGTGAGGGTGATGAAATGAAACCAACCCATGCGATAGTTGTGGCCTAATGTGTGTGCAATGCTTAGAATATTGCCTACTACAAATGAAGAACGCAGAAATTGCCACTTATCTTTATTGAAGAAATTAGAGCAATGTCTATTATGTTATCAAATTAAAGAAGTCGATTTCCCTCCCAGCCAGTATTTACTGAATATCTACGGCAGTAAACCCCAGCCAACAATACCCTTCCTCTTAAAGCGCGTACATGTATATGCATAGAGGATGGTGTGGGGTAGGGGATGGAGAAAAAAGGGAGAGTGAGGAGGGAATAAGTAAATATGCAAAAGCTATGTCAGGTGATGGTCCCAGGACAAATGAAGCTAGGAGGGAGAGAGGAAGTTCTGGGGGTGGAGTAAGACAGAAGAATGTTTAGATAGGAAACACAAAAGTACAAGAATCCTGAGGCTGAGGAATGCTTGGTGTGTTTTACAACAGCAAGGTCAGTGCGGCTGGACAGAGATGAGGATCTGACGAAACTCCAACCTGATGTCCCAGGGCTCTAGTTAGGAGAGGCAGGGAGATCACTGAGGGTATGAAGCCATTGGAAGAACCGGCTGCTACTGTGCTGGTTCAAAGGGTAGGGTGCAAAGCCACTGGCCTTTCAGAGAACAGGAGAGACATAACCTAACTTATATTTTTTCAAAAACAACTCAGACTGATGAGGGTAGTAGATGGACAGTAGGAAGTAGGAAGATCCAGTAGGAGACTAGGACTGAGAAACAATGGTGGGCTGGACCAGGACATTAGCAGTAGGGACATGGGATAGGAAGGAGTGACACTTTTAGGATATACTGCTGCAGGCAGAGTCGACAGAATTTGCTGACAAATGGGATGTAGAATGTAAAACAGGGAAGGGTCAGGAAGAGGACAGCTCTATGAGAACAGGGATTTTTCTCACTTATTCGAAGTCTAGCCTTACTACCAAGACTCAACACTCTGTTTTAGACAAAAGTCTTGCTGTATAGTGTAGGCTCGAACTTACTATGTAGTCGAGGCTGGCTTCAGCCTCCCATGTACTGGGACTACAAGTATGCACCAACATACCCAGCTAGTATTGGATGTCTAGTATTCAACAAATACACCTTGAATAAACAAAAAGCGCAATCCTTATTTTTACTGTTCTTTCTTTGAACTTTATAAATAGTACATAGCAGTTAAAACATCACCAGATAAACGAAGTACTTACTGTGGAACCAGCTTCAGCAATCAAGCAGTGAAACCTCTTCCAGTTCTTCCCACAAGATGGGCGTTGACACTGCGGCATCCTGCCTCTCAGCTGCCAATGAACAAGGGCTGAAAAACAGCTTTGACATTTTCTGTAACCAAGAGCACTTTGTTATAAAACATTCATTGTAAACCAAAACCAACAGGATATATACAGAAAAATATATTCAAGAGCAGTTTATTTGGAGAAAAGCATAGGGAACGGGAGCCTGGGACTAGAGTTCAGTGGCAGAGCACATGCGTATACTCAATATGCAATAAACCATGGATTTAATCTCCAGTGGCAAGTTGCAAAACACATGGAGGACTTTGATATTTCTGTGTTCTTAAAACACAATCAGTAAAATGAAAACAATAATATACAAATAATTCATTAGGTAAGATAAATAATGTAATTAATTAAGGTAGTCTATGAAATGCTCTACTGGTTATATTTAAAATAGTAAAAAGAGGGGCTGGAGAGATGGCTGGGGCTGGAGAGATGGCTCAGTGGTCTAAAGCACCTACTTAGAACAAGCTTGGCAAAAGCATCAGGGACCGCGGTTCAATCCCCCAGCACCACATGCCAGCCAGCCCCGCCCCCTGGTGGGCTGAGCTGGCCACACACACACACCACACTCTCTCTCTCTCTCTCTCTCAAATAAATAAAAAAAATTAAAAAAAATAAAAAAATAAAAAATAAAATAGTAAAAACAAATATGATGCATTTTATGCCATTGTTCCTACTAATTTGTTGCACCATGCCTACTAAGACACTGTACCATATGAGAAATTGAAGTAAGTGTTACTAATAAACCCAGAATATGCTAATTTCTAATCCCTCCACACATAGCGTTTAAAGACTCCTATCTTGAGTAACCCTAAGTAGTATACAGAAGTGATACACAGTAAGCCTCTCATTCTTGTTCAGTGTTGATCTAGAGGCGAGATGCCAATACTTGCTTTTGGCACTTTTCTGGCAATGTTATAAAGTAATAGTCAATCTCTGAGCAACATTTGAAGATATCAGTTCTAGACCCTACACATACCTCTTAAGTTGTTCCAGTCTTTATCATTCTCACTATTATTACTGTAGTCGTGAGCACTGAACCAAGGTAGAGCTGAAGTACACATCTAACCCAGCCACCTGCCCCTACTGCTTTTAAAATTTTGAGACAGAGTCTTCATAAATTGCCCAGGCTGGCCTCAAATTTATGACCCTTGTGCATTAGCCTCAGGAGTAGCTGGGATTACAGGTGAGTGTCATGCCTGGCTTCTGTGGTCTTTTTGCACTGATTTCTTCAGCCTATTTGAGCTGCTTTGCTCACCTCATGTGATACAGTATCCAGTTTTCCTCTAATACCGTTTGATCAGGTTATGTTCAAGTGACCTAGATTGTACTAGGCTTGCCGCTTTCTTTGGGATATTTGAGTGTGGGTCTCTCTTCAGCCCTGGACAGGATGAATTTCCCACATACACAGCTCAGAAGTCTATACACAGGAGAAATTTAGAAGTAATAGCATTCGGCTAGTAAGAGGGGCAGGGAGTGAGCATGGGGCACATTTTATGGCAGCCAACTTTGTAAAGCATGCAGTTTTTAAAAGTTATTTATGGCAAATATTATAGGAGAACCTAATGCTTTCTCAGCCCACGCGCAACACTGCTACTGTCGCCACACACTTCAGTTCTTTGGGTATTGAGGCAGCTTCTGCTTGCTCTGATAGTGCTGCCCTCTGCTCCTCCAAATACCCCAGGCCTAAATGTTCTCTGGCGCCTGACTAATGGCCGGGGAACATTCTGGATCAGGGCGAGTCTCAGGCAAATGGGCCTCAGGGTGGCAGCGTCGGGTGAGGAGTCGGGCTCGGCTCCGGCGAACTTTCCAAGGCCAAAGTCAAGTTTTCCTACCTTGGGTGCATGCGGGCATCACAAGCAGAGTTCAGGTTCCTGAGTCACAGCGTCAGCCCCTGCGGCTACTTTGCAAAAATCTCTGAGACGAGCGTGAAGTCCAGGGCTGCAGCACGAGGAGCCCACCCCCGCGGCTGGTCCCCAGCCCCTACCAGCGGGTTTCTTTAATGCGCGCGCCCGTCAAGGTCCCCGCGTCCCCTCCCTTCCAGCCTCCCGGTCCGCCTCGGTTTCCCCCACCTCTCCGGGTCCCTGCAGTTCCTTCCCGGTCGGACGCTCCCGGCCCGTGCCCGCCCGCGCGAGCGGGACTCAGCTGTCACTTTACTTTTCCGCGCCGCCTCCCCGCCCCCTCTCCCGGCCAGCGGGGCAGCCCGCCCGTGCGCGCGCCCGCCCCCGCC